ACGTCAGCCTGGCCCCTCGGGAACTGCATGCAGGAGGCTGGGCGCCCATGCCCGCGGTGGGGCCACCACATGGGTCCCCTGTCCCTGCCCATCCTAGTTCCTGCCTGTCCCACCAGGGCCGCGATCCAACACCCCAAGCCCAGACGGGAGCCAAGTGTTCTCCATGACACTGGGGCCCTCAGACAATGCGCCCCCATCTCGCTCCAAGCGCACGCACCACTCTCAGCTCAGTGAGCTTTAGAAAAGGAAGAGCAGAACGGGCACCTGTGAAGGCGGACAGAGCCACAGCGCCCATCTGCCGGGGCCACAGCCAGGCCTCCCACTGCCCACCGCCCCGGTGGCTCTGGGTCCCTGAAGTCCTGGACGTTACTCAGCGCCGCCTGCTGTCCCCCGACTCCAGCAGCACATGAGCAGGGCGCTGCGGGGGCTCTGACCGCGGCCACGCTCCCTGGGCAGACACACCTGCCCTGGACACTGACCACCAGTCCAGTATCTTCCATCAGCCCCGCCCCACGGCACGGCCAACCCCTCCTCTGTCCCTCCAAGGCGGCACCTCTACCTGTCCAGGTGCAGGCGACGCCCAGGGCTCCCTGGTCCGAGCAATTGGCTGACACAAATAACAACCACAGAACCGGGCTGACTCGAGGGCGGGCCTCCCAGCCGGGCCACCCCACCCCCGCGGTGACACTCACGTTGTCCCGGATGTTGATGTCCGAGCCCTTGGACAGCAGCAGCTTCACCAAGTCCACGTGCTTGTACTCAGTGGCCCAGATCATGGGCGTCCAGCCACCATCATCCTAATTTCAAAAGAACGCAATTCCAGCGCCGGCACAGAGGGCGAGCTCCCTCAGCCTGCAGGCCGCCCGCCGTGGGGTGCCGGCAAGGAAACCGAAGCTCAGGGCGCTGCCCCAGGTGTCTTGGCGAGGGCAGGACAGAGCCAGGACTGGCCCCGACTGACCCGCAAACCCCTGAACAGGCCCATGCATGTGACCAAGTCACAGGAGAAAAGAACGGCCCCGCTGCTGACCAGCCCCGCCCAGGGCCAGGTCGGCTGGAGGCGGCCACTGCAGGGACGGCGTCTGCTCCTCCCTCCGGTCCCAGTGGCCCTGGACACTGAGCACGAAGCAAGAGCTTCGGCGAGAACTGCACATGGGGACCCGGTGCAGCGGGGGAGGGGCGAGGGGCGGAGGGTGTGGCTCACCTGGCAGTTGACATCCATCTGCCCGTTGGAAAGCAGGTACTGGACCACCTCGTAGTGGCCTTTCTTGGCAGCCAGGTGCAAGCAGGTGGAGCCCTCTGCATCCTACAACACAAAGGCCATGGGTCAGACACACCTGGACCTGCAGGCCGCCTGACGTGGGGACAGAGGTGCTAGGAATGGGAAACCTGGGGGGTGGGGCCTTGCTCAAGGTCACAGGCCAGGACCCCAGCTCTGCCCACAGCCCGACCAGCTCCCGACGACACTGACGGCTCTCAGTGAGTCTCCACCTCCGTGGTGAAGTGTTCTAAGTGTGGCGTGCTCTTGGCTGCTGTGGTACATGGAACTGCTTTCTGAACTTCCTCTCTGGATGGTCCGGCAACAAGTGCGGAGAGACACACCTGCCTGTGTCTGCCCTGACTCTGCTGCTGTTACTCTTCACCCGGGGACAGTTCTCATTGCTTTTTAGGGGGGTGGGGGGAGCGGGAGGGGGAGACACACCGATGGGTCGCCTCCTGCACGTGTTCCAACCAGGGTTGAAAACCGAACTTGCAACCCAGTTACGTGCCCTTAACCGGGAATCGAACCCGAGACCCTTCAGTTCCAGGGTCGATGCTCTAACCACTGAGCCCGGCCAGGGCTCTGCACTGACTTTGTGTCAGGCGACTCCCCTGCACACACGCATCGGTCTAACTGCTCGGCCCTGGACTCGCGGGGGACTCTACAGGCGAGACCAGGCCTCTGTAGCGTCGTTCTGCGTCTTCCTTCCCAGCTGGGACCCTTTCCTTCCTCTCCCCCGCTCACTGCAGCAGGTAGAAGGCCGCTCCCCGCCTCGCACGCACCTTGGGGTCCACGAGGGCCCCAGCCTTGATGAGGTATCTCACTGCGTCCAGGTGGTTGTTCTCGGCCGCCTCCATCAGCGGGGTCCGCTGGTCCTCCGAGCAGGTGTCGATGTTGGCTCCTGCCTGCGGGGAGGGACAGTGGCGAGTGGAAAGCGGCTCCTGCAGCCACCCCCGGGGAGGACGGGGCACCTCACACGCACCTTGGGGTCCACGAGGGCCCCAGCCTTGATGAGGTATCTCACTGCGTCCAGGTGGTTGTTCTCGGCCGCCTCCATCAGCGGGGTCCGCTGGTCCTCCGAGCAGGTGTCGATGTTGGCTCCTGCCTGCGGGGAGGGACAGTGGCGAGTGGAAAGCGGCTCCTGCAGCCACCCCCGGGGAGGACGGGGCACCTCACACGCTTCACTCTCGAATGGAAAGATGGCCCAGCTGCGCTCGCCCTTCCCACTGCGCAGCCTGGTCGCACTTTCCCATCGAACGCGCAGACCTAGCTATCGCCATCACAGCTCTGGCTCACGAGGAGCGTTCACTTCTAAATGAATTGGACAGAAATGTCACAGCGCAGCCAGGGCAGCACCTTCAGAAATGAGGAGGAAGGCGACAGCCCCTAAAACCGCAAAGGGGTGCAGAGGGGCCCCCGCGAGGCCGCAGGAGGTGCTGAGGTGACCTGCATGACCGCAGGACATCTGCTTAGCGTCGCCCGGCCCGTTCTCTGGAATCCTCGCCAAAATACCCAGAACCTTCCGTGTATTTTGCAGCGATTGCTTGTTTTTCCTAAAGAGTGTGAACCTCAGAAACCACGGGGCGGGTGGGGGGGTGCACAGGCCACGCTCTGAGTCTGACACGCGGGCGGGCCTGACCGAGCTGGTCACGAGCGAGAGGCAAAGGCGAGGCAGCTGAAACCCACAGGGGGAGGAAGCATCACACCTTAGACCGGTGGACACACAGCTAATATTTCGTTCCTAAAATAAATATTTACCATGGGACAGGCTGAGTGCTAGTTGTTACTTTCAGCCATTAAAACACAAAACGAACCTGGACTGGCTCCCATGGAAACCGAGACAGACAGAGACGCGCTCCTTTCCCAGGTCAGAGGTCAGAGGCCTGCCCAACAGGTTAGACACGGGCACGGGCACAAGGTCAATTTCCAAAACATGAAAGCTCAAAGCCAAGGAAGGCGGCCCGTCCGAGGGCCCAGTCGGCCCAGAACCCCACAGCAGCTGATTTTAATGATGAAGTTGCCACACGACGTGCGATAGCCGGACACGTGGCTG